AGACAAAACTGACATTTTGATATTTTTAAAAAATAGCCTCTCACCTTATTTTAAGGGCTATTTTGATGCCACTATAGTGGCAGTAGTAGTTTCAATTAAGGGAGTTTCCATAAAATTTTTTCTCAAGGTTACAATCACAGTCTAAAAGGATTGTTTATATTTCTTAGAGTGATATTATTAAGTACCAAAAGTGGTTTAAAAGTAATAAAATGCCTAGATACAAAACTTGAGCAATCATGTTTATTTGGCCTTAAATTACTCCCTTGATCCTCTTGGTAAAATAATACACACTTCTTTTAACTTTGCTTTTTGGTAGCTAACTGACAGAAGTGACTGCCTGCATATAGGAGAGTGGTGCCACCTAACCTTTCTGTGGCCACTTGGTTGCTTATCCTTTTTCAAGACAGTGGTGGCATACAAACACCCTTGTTCACTCAGCACTGGGCACTGAACTAGAATCTGCATCATTATATGCTTTCATTTGGCAGAAATCATGTATATCTATGTATTGTTTCCCCAACTGCATTATCTATCAGAGAAGCAGAGGCTGTGACTTGTATTCACTTGTAAGGATGGTGGGCTAGATACTTCTTCAGTGCCCTGTTGGGTCTGTTGCATCATGAGCACATAGTACAAATTCCATGTTCAGGCATGTTGTAAAGTAAACAGTGCAACAATGTGAACAATTACTTTTTAAGAAGAAATAGACCTTACCAAAATAGTTGCTAAAGAAAGGGCAGCCCATTCGTGCTGTTCCCAGCCCCTAAAATCCCAGCGCTTGTTTACTCTCATGGTTGCAGTGGAGGACACATCCAAGCCTCCTGGTTGGCTTTGAACCCTGACTTTAGTTCCTTTGTTGTTTCAGGGTAAGTAGCAGGTGTAAGGTGCAGAGAATTTCTTTGCTCTATGTTATTTATGCTGAGAATCAACTGGTTAGGTCTTTAGCTCTTAAGGAGAGGCTAATGGGAAGGAGATAGAGAGTGATAGGAGATGATCTAGCTCTTCCTTGTCCCATCTTTTCTCCCTTCAGAACTTCAACCTCCCTTCTCCCTCCGGGCTGCCAGTTAGGATATTCCTAAATGAAAGAAAGGAAAGGAGGAAACAATGAGATCTGGGAAAATTGTAAACAAAGAGACAGAGCAAATCCGTTTTATAACCATATAAATGCTATTACACTGATTGATTAAATAGTTTAAAAATATTTTCATAGTATGTGATACTTTTGATCATAAAACCAGTTCGTATTGAGGTGACTTGTATTGAAGAGTTCTATTTAGTGTTACTGTGTGCCAAGAACGCTCATTAACATAGTCCTAGCTGCAAGTAAAGGAAACCAGAAAAGGAAGGGCTCCTATCTGCTTCCCCTTAATAATGCTTACATAGCATAACTTGAAGAGTTAAGAACAGCCAGATGGAAGAGATGCATAGAGCAAGGTATGGGGAAAGGGTGTGAAGCTTCCAATCCCTCTCTGGGAGTGCCCCCTCCTAGTACCTGCATGTGTTCAGTAACCCAGAAGCTCCCCAACCCTGTCCTTTTGGGTTTTATGGAGGCTTTATTAGTAGGGTGATTGATTAAATCACTGACCACTGGTGATTGGCTCAGTCCCCAGCTCCTCTCGCCTTGGGGGTTGGGGCTAGGGCTGAAAGTTCCAACCCTCTGATCACAGGGTTGTTTTCCCTGGCAACCAGCCCCCTCCTGAAGCTATCCTGGAGCCTTAGCCACCAGTGACATTAGCATACAAAAGGTACTTATTGCTTCAGAGATTCTAGGGGTTTTAGGAGCTGTGTGCCAGGAAATGGGGGCAGAGACCTAATATATATGCCTCATTAAAAATCACAATATCACAGGCAGTTTCTTTAAAAACTAAACATGCACTTACCATAGAACTCAGCATTTCCACTCTTCGATATTTATCCCAGTGAAAACTGGAAAACTTCTATACAGCTTTATTCACAATAGCTCAAAACTGGAAAGTACTTAAATATCCTTCAATGGGTGAATGGTTAAATACTATACATCCATACCCTGGAGTATACTACTCAGCAATTAAAAAACAACAACTATGAAAGTAATATAGCAACTTGGATGAATCTCAAAGGGCATTGTGCTGAGTGAAAAAATTCAACCTGAAAGCATCATATGGAGTATGATGCCATCTTTGTAACATTCTGTAAATGACAGAATTATATAAATGAAAAACAGCTTTGTGGTTGTTAGAGGTTAGAGGTGTTGGAGTGGGGGGTGGGGGGTGGCTATCGGGGATAATGTGAAAGGGATCTCTATGGTGATAGATAGTCCTGTATCCTGATTGGCGTGGTGGTTACTGGAATCTGCCCACATGATGAAATGACAAACCTGCACACAAGCTTTGTACCAATGTCAGATTCCTGGTATGGCTCCTGTACTAAAGGTAATTTGGGTGTCATCACTGGGGACATGGTGTGAAGGAGAATCCCAGCAGAAGGCATGTGTGGTTCCCCACCCTGCCATGCTACCCTTCACTCACTGCCTCATGCTGCTAGTTTCAGACTCAGCCTGTCTCTGTCTCCTCTGTGCATGGCTCTTTCTCTGTCTCCCTCCTCTGCCTCTTCTCTCTGTTTCAGTATAACAGAGGGAATGGCCTGAAAAAAAAAAAAAAATGTTTTCTGTCTGTTTCAAACATCCTCCATTCCTTTTTGAGAATTAAAACCTGCATCCCTACCTCAGGCCAGTGGTTGGGAAGGGCAGGTTAAGTCTTTTGTTATTTGTGCTACAGGAGATGGCTCAGCCCTGGTAAAGACTGGGTAAAGGGAGGTCCTGGGTGAAAGCGACAGGATTGTCTTCAAAGATAAAGAATCATCAACTGTAGTTGAACAGCAACTGCCCGAAGCTGAGAACCCACCCTTTAAAAGCTCTGTATTTCTGCCTATTAGGAGGATGAGGACATTTCAGACAAGAGTCTCCATCCTCTTACTTTGCCAGCAAAGTAATAAACTTCTCTTTCCTTCTCCTCAAACCATCTGTTCTCATTCTTCTGATGTGGCCTCGAAGACAGGTGCTGAGCTTTTGGTAACACACGTGGTCATTGTAAAAAAGAAACCTAAAAACTAAAAAATGTAGATAAATAGAGAGGAAAAAAATTAAACCATGTGGTTGTTTTATCAACGGAAAAGAAGCCAAACTCTGTACCATAATTTGAAGAGGTTTATTCTTTATTCGGAGCCAAATTTGAGGACCATGGCCTGGAGCCATGCTCCCAAAGCCTTGAGCAAGTGGACTCAATGTGGATGAGTTACAGTTAGGTTTTATACATTTCAGGGAGACAGGAATTATGTGTAAAGTCATACATCAACACATGGAAGGCGTACATTGGTTTGGCCTGAAAAGGTGGGGACATCTCAAGGTGCGGGGAAGGCCTATAGGTTATAGGTTGGTTTGAAGACTCTTTGATTTGTAATTGATTAAAGAAATGAGGCTTTGTCTAAAGGCTTAGAATGTTTTAAGCTAAGATAAGGAAGTCTGTTAATCAGAGACAAGCCAGGGAACTTATACCCAGACTCAAGTGATTTGTCATGTAAATTGAGGACCTGCAGGTTTGTCTTCCATAGCCTTAGGCCTGTTAATGAGTTACAAAGGATGTCTACTATAAGGGGAAGGGGTGCATGATGAGGCATGTCTGACCTCCCTTCTCATGGCCAGTAACTCAGTTTTAGGGTATCCCTCTGGCCAAGAAGGGGGTCTGTTCAGTCCCCTGGGAGGAGCTGAAGATTTTATGTTAGTTCACAGTTTCTTTCCTATTTAAACATGGTGATTCCCTTGTACTAGCAGCCATGGGCTGTGGACCTGGGCAGGGTCCATAGCCCACAGCATTTGAGTCCCTGACTCATACTCTGAGATCTTAGGGTTCAAAGTGGTAAGACTTGGTCCCATTTTCTGCTTCTGGTCGCATTTTGTACCCAGTACCTGATCTTTTCTGGTTAACCTTTTTGCTTCCCAGTAATTATGTTTAGCTATTTTCTCACATAAGCTCTAGAATCAGGCTACCTAGGTTTAAATCTTGACTCCACCACCTACTTACTAGGTATTCAATCTCTTTGTGCCGCTGTTTACTTATTTGTAAGTAATGCCTGTCTGAAAGGAATGTGGTGTGGGGATTACTTTATATGAGGGAAAGCACTTACTAGCTTTTAGGTGTCATTATTTATAATTATTTCTTTGAAGTCTCAGCTGTGTTTTGTTTGCCTGCTGCTGGTTCCATGGCTCTCCTGTCTCTGGTGTGACCTGCGCTGTCCAGAAGTGTGCCCTGTGCCTGTTCTGTAGATTTTCTTTCTCAAGTTCTCTTTGGTCTCTTGCTTTTGGTGGGATGGCACACTGTGCAGATGGGACTGGGCCCTGAGAGAGATGCTTAGCCTTTTGTTGCCCTTGGTGCTGCATCATCTTTGTGGTCATTGCTAACACGATTGTAAGAGACCAGAGTGTGGACTGAATGTGGCAAGAATACCAAAGCATATAATGGCTTCCTTAGTCGTGTCATGAGAAAGGCCAAGAAACATTGGCCACCTAAGTTACAAGGTTAGCTGGGGTTAAATAGAAGTGTTATAACTAAACTCCAGCTCTTTCGTATTTCCACTTGGGTCCATTCATTGAAGCATCACTGGACTCTTGCTATGTGCCAAGAGTGAAGTTTCAGAGGCTCACAGATTTCTGGGGGAAGGCAGCTATAGGGTACAGCTGGCAACCATGCCCTGGGATTGTGGAAACTCAGGTCAGGGAAGGATTCAGAGGCTCCTCAGAGTGTACCAGCAGCCTCAGCCTCACCGGGGAGATCATTGAGGTGTGTTTTACCAGCTCTCCAAAACATTCTTTCCCCTACCAAAGTCAAGAAGCACAGGGCTCATGTCGAAGCCTGGTGCCAAATACCCAGGGCATGTGAATATTTCACTCTCTTGGAGACCTACAAAGCAGCCCTCTCTTCCTGAAGTAGTGTTTATGGCCGGAGTCCACTGGGTAGGCTGCTCCGACAAAGACTCTGTCCCTAGTTTGTGGAATGTTTTTTAGAACTTACTGAAAGCCTCAGTAAATCCGGACTACTGTGCCAACTGAGGCTGTGCTGCTGAGCTCTTAACGTGAAGCAGCAGTAGCGACCCTGGCAAGCCAGGGCTGACGTGTGTGGGAAGAGTGGGAGTGACCCTGGCTGGGAGCGGGGGAGGCCTGGATATTGTTTCTCCGTCCCTGTGTCCTGCCACTCTCGGCGCTGGGCTCAGAGCTCTGCAGCACCCACGATGGCCTTCCCAGGCAGAGTGCGCCCCTGCGTTATCCCAGAGAACGAAGAGCTCCCCGGAACCGTCCTTAACAATGTGCACGAGGCTAATGGGAATGAAGACGAAAGGGCTGTGTCCAAACTGCAGCGCAGGCACAGTGACATAAAAGTCTACAAGGAGTTTTGTGACTTTTACGCGAAATTGTGAGTGTCTCCTGTGCTGGAGTGGCTCTCTTCCAGATCTTGGGTTCATGAGCTCTCGATCCACAAAGCCTTTGTGACCTAGCTAATACAGTTTTATTTGCTGGACTTAGGATGGGGTTTTCCAGTGTAACCCAGGGGCTCTGAGGGCAGCTCACAGCACAGCATGTTCCAGGGAGGCAGAAAGTTTGCCTCGTCACTGAAAACTTCCACTGGACAACATGCGGATGTGAGGGGAAATGCTACCTTCACAGTCGGAGTACAAAGTCTTTGTCTCCAGTAGGTTTCTGAGAGCAGCACGTTTTCATTGTGTCAGCCGTGAGGGAGGTTTAGAGGTTTCGTTGTCAAGATTTATAATGGATAAATTTTGTACTCTAAAACTTACCAAAGATAAGAGGCAGTTTGGGTGAAACAGTGAAACATTGAATTACATATTGTTGATAAACATTTTTGTTAAGTTTAACAATTAACAGTTTGAAGTAGGCTAACTGGGTTTCTTAATACTGTCTCTAGGGGATTGAATTAATAAATAAGGAATATTGTGTAACTAGCAAATCAATATACATATAGAACATGCTGGTAACTCTAAAAAGCTAATCTAATTTATATTATAAAATGGCTTTTAGCAAACCTATTTTTAACAAAGAGTGCAGAGTAGCCTTCAGACCAACTCAAATAAGACCATTGACCTCATTCGAAGTTGTGAGCTTGGAAGTATTGCACATCCTCGATTTGACAAGTAATTGTTAAGGAGCATTTAACTGACCTGCTTCTCCACTGTGGAAGGAGATCTGTTCTGTATGGTATTGCAACAGGTGTCCTTCATCTTCATAGATCATGACCAGCTCTGGTTAAGAGTAATTGGGGAATTATTATAAAACTGTAACTAATATTTTTAATTGCTTGAACTCTCAAGATGACTTTTGGATTTACACATTTCTGCATTTTAAGACCAAAAAATTTGTCTCACATACTACGATGAATGAGGCACTTGAATCATGGAAAGCTACATGATAGCAAATTTGCTGTGCGAAGTCGATTTGTGGATGTAGATCATATAAATCAGTCATGCCTGGCCAGCTGTGAAGATTCTGTACTGAAGGCTTTTGCATATGTACATTCCCCCACTTACATATTTCTTGTCATCAGTACTTTTTAGTGAAAATCTTCTGAAAAATTAGCTGCCTAATTATAACTAATCTAATAAGAGCTATAGCTGTTGCTCATGACTTCTAAAAAGTCACTTCTATCAAATGTAGTGTTTAAAAAAGCATAGTGCCAGAGGGTGGAAGACAAGAGAGGAAAGGGAAGTGTGAACAGTTCAGTGACTGTTGTTTCCTCCTCCCTCCCCCGCTGCTTGTTATCAAAAGGAGTAGAATACTTCTTGAAAAATACATATTACATTATCTCTAAAACTAATTTATTTTTCTTGTGTATGGGAAATATGTGATTGTTTTTATAATGTGTCTACCTATTTCCTAATTCTGTTTGAATATTTGAACTTGAATATAAACAGTCCATAGTACGAGTGTAAACAGGTCAGTGACAATCAAACCTTTTGATCTGGGGACCTCTTAACACTCTTAAAAATTATCGAGGTCCCCAAAGAACTTTTGTTTGTCAGTATTTCTTGTCTCAGAAATTTAAACTGAAAAAATTTTTTAAATATTTATTGCTTTGTTTAAAATATAAGCTAATTACATGTTAATATTAGTGAGTTGCTAATATTAATATTTTTATGAAAAATGACTTCCAAAATAGAAAAAGCTCAGAGGGAAGAATAGCATTGTTTTACATTTTTGCAAATCTTGTTAATGTCTGTCATAATAAAAGAATTTCTCATATCTGCTTCTGCATTCAACCTATTATAATATATTGTTCTAGATGAAGTATGTAGAGAAAATTAGCCTCCCATAGAGATGTAGTTGGAAAAGAGAGGACCGTTCAGACCCCTGAAGGGGTCACGGTGACCCCTACACATTGAAAACCACTGGTTTAGGTGATAATGAACCAGGGCATTCCAGAATGTCCTTTTCCAACTTTTTTGGAGTTCCATTAAGATCACTGAAGTTTCATGAATCTTTTGAGGGAGTTTAGAATGAATAATAATGCCATATATTTGAGTAGCATCCTGTGGTTTTCAAAGTGGTTTTATATACTTTTTCTTCAAAACAGTACTGAGAGTTATGGGCAGATCTGGAGCTTACTGCACTTTCCCGTCAAGGAACACCTGTGGACTTTGGTCAGGAGAAAGGAAGCAGCACAAACCTCTCCGGAGCTTGGCTAAAAGTGCCACAGTTCATCAGGGTGATGGCAAAGCTGGGTGAAGATGGGAATTTTATATATTTTTCCCGCAATCCACAGTAATTTTGGAATGACTAAGTATAAATTCATTTTTAACATGAGGCTTAGGTCAGGTTTGCCAAGCAGTGAGGCTGCCTCCCTTTCTCCTTCAGTTTTTTTGGTAACATTTTAATTCTGTATTCAAATCTATTAAATGAAGTTGAGTTTTGATTGGTGGTGAACATGGTATTTCTCCATGGAATTATTTATGTCAAGGGTACAACATAGGATTGCTATTCTTTGAAACATTTGGGGAAAGAAGGCAAAGTACACAATTGTCTTCTATTGGATTGGGTGCAAGTGGAGTAAGTGTGACCACTTTTGCTGAGGAAACAGCAAAACTTGAAAACTGATGGGGCAAGGCAGTTGGTTAATCTATCTGTAAAGTGGAGACTGTCCACCTATCTCCCTCACGGAGTGGTTGTGAAGATTCAGGAGAACATTGGCAGTAGCTTTATGAGGTGAATTGATTAATCTGGGAGGTCAGAAGCTGCAGTGGGGACCAGACATGCTGGTAGGGCTTGTTCTCTAAATGGGCATCTGAAAATAAACTTGCCAAATTGTGAAGGACTGCTTGGCTGGTGACTGCTCTGGATAGGGGACCTTCTCTATTTCTAGGACTTTGAGAAACAAAGCAGATCTTTATGTGAAATCCTCATCTAATGATATGCTTGTCAAAGCCATGTTGCTTTTCTTCTTCCCCACTGTGCAGTGGTTAGAGAGAACTTGGGGTCCTTTGTTGAACGCCTTCTGTGTGTTTTAGGTACTGTGGGGTTACTGGTGAGGGAATTACTCAAACCACTGGGCTCAGCGGGAGATACTTGGCTGCTTGGCTTCACTCTCCTGATCTACAAAACATGGTGTGTCCCTGTCATGTACCCTCAAGTGTCTGAAAGTAGTGTTGTAATCTGTTTTGATTGACAGTGTGATTTTATGGGGTGGAGGATGTGGATTCTAGTCCTATGTCTTCCATTAACTAACTAGCTTTGTGATTTTCTAATCACTCCACTTCTGTGAACCTGTTTTGCCATTCGTAAAGTGATACTTATAATGTAAAATTCTGTGCTTTTAAGATATATGTTATAATATTAATATTCAGCATTTATCTTACAAATTAGTTAGTAGGATTGGGACATCTTGGCTGCTTTTAAAAAGTACAGTTGCTTTGAAAGGGATAACCTGTGTCTGAGTTATGACATGGCATTCAGTTGACATGTAGTTTAGATTTTGCTCTCAGAAAAGAAAGAAACTGGCTTTGAGATGTTGACTTGTGGATTTTTTTTTTTTTTTTTTTTTTTTTAGAAACAGGGTTTCACTACGTTGCCCAGGCTATTCACAAGCTCACACTACCTCAAACTGCTAGCCTCAAACGATCTCTCAGCTTAGGCCTCCCCTGTAGCTGCAAGTAGCTGGGACTACAGGGGCAGCTCTGCCCAGCTAACTTGCGGATATTTTAATTGAGCTATTTATCAAGCAATAAGCCCAGGTTGCTTGAGGCAACTCATGATTTTCATCTCTGTCCCTAGTGCCTAACACATAGTAGGCACTCACTTGCAGTATATTTAACAAGAAGAATGCCAAAAGTGTTAGACAAACAGGATCAAAGCAGGAGGCCCTTACAGAACCCAAGACGCTGAAGAGACTGGAACAGTTAGAGTAGTTAAGGAACAAGCAGGAAATTGAACTTTATAGATAAAATATGATTTTTGTGATCAGATAGAATTTGCTCATCAGCTTTTCATGTTGTTTGGTCTTAGATCTAAGAAAAGATTGACAGTCTGTGATTTGCCGTCCTTTGTGTGTTACAGCAACATGGCCAATGCCTTGGCCAGCGCCACTTGTGAGCGCTGCAAAGGAGGCTTTGCACCTGCTGAGAAGATCGTGAACAGTAACGGAGAGCTGTACCATGAACAGTGTTTCGTGTGCGCTCAGTGCTTCCAGCAGTTCCCAGAAGGACTCTTCTATGAGGTAAGTCAACCTGGACAGAAGCAAAGAGGCACCATTCCCTCCCTCTCCTCCCTCCCTTCTTTTCCGAGGCCTCCTCCTTCGCTTTCAGTTTCATTATCGAAGATTATATTGAAGTGCCAGGTACACGCCAAGTATTTGGTAGCTGTCAGGTCAGAGATGGCGTGTGTATGGGACTTGTGGGCAGTGGCTTAGGTGGGCTGCCCTTACAGACCCCACCATTTAAATTGTTCAATTTGTTTTCTTATTTCAGATTCCACATTATCCCATGACTCTGCCTTTCATACCTAAGCATTTCAGCTCAGCACACAAAATCCTTTCAAAATCTTCAGCCCCAGTTTTTCTGGCCTCTCCACTCAGGTCCCCACTTGCTTGCCTGTGCATATACCTTGCTGATTCCTGCCTCTGTGTCTTTCCACCTTCTCAGAGGACCACTGGACATCCTCTCTAAAGGACAGTGTGTGGTGTGTCACCTGCTCCATGACTTGCTAGCCACGAGAGGTGCTCCCATGCATTTATTTTCTAAAGAGGATCTTGTTTGGATATGAGCATTTTGGGGAACTATACTGTCTATATTTAGGTCTTCTATGTGTCTGTGTTCTTTTCCAGATATTTGTTTTTCTTGCTCTTCGAATGTTAACATATGGTCTACCCTTGCTTTGTAGTATTTTCAGTATTCTCACCGTTACTGAAAGACCCTTTCTCACAGTAAACATGTATTTTGGGCGATGGTCTAGGGAAGCTGACCCCAATCTGTAAATGAAGGCGAGTTTCGTCCGTATGTATGTGTGTATCAGAGAGATCAATTGGGTAATTTACTTTTACCACCTTACTCCTTACATATTTGTGTATATATGTGCATCTATCTCTATATGATAATATATGTGTGTGGAATTATTTTACAGCCAGAAATGGCTGCTCTTTTAAATTTCCCTGTTCTACAAGCCCATGCCTGAGGAAGGAAAGGTAGTTTACAAAGGTTGTTAGTAAGTCAATTGTTTGCCACTCAGGCAGCATTTTCCCATAGAAACAATGCTCATGGGAGTGAGGTTCCCAGGCCAGCCTGCAGAAAAGCGATTTACCCCATCTCGGGGACATGAAATACACAACTAGCATGAAAGTTGTAATGTGACTCTGGGAAGCAGCTTTAGGAGGTAGGTTAGGAAATGCTTTGTATTCACTAGCACACATTTGTTTGAGCTACTACTGTATTCCAGAAACACAAATTTCCTACAACAAAAACCTCAGCAGTGGGAAGAGGACTTTGTTTTCTCTTCCAGTTCTTCCCAACTCCTTCCCTGGTCAGTAGGAATCTCTTTTTTTTTTTCATCAAGAATGAAGGCTCTGGGGATGGGATGGACCAGTGACCATTGTGAGGTGGGAGACGAGCTCCGGGCAGTATGCATGGGGGGCATCAGGCCTAGAGACCGTGCTGAGGCCGTAGTAGCTGGCGTTGGTAAGAAGGAGAAAAAGGAAAGCTCTGGGCTCTGAGGCAGCAGGAAGAGAAGGGGAGTTTGCTGCTGGTGGTAGTGGTGGCTGTTACTCAGTTTGGGTAAAGGGACCTAAGGACCTACTTCTGTAGAGTCCTGACAAAAGGCTCTCAAATCTCTAACTTGGCTGCAGTGGAGGCATGCTGGGAACACCTAAGGAAATGCTAGAAATCTGGCTCTGGGGGAATGTTAGTCTTCATACTGTATAAATCCCTTCTTTATCCCTCCCTGTTTTTCCCTCCTATGGCTCAGAGGGGTTGAATTGTCTTTGATAACAAGAGATTTGAAGCACGAAATAAATTAGAACCTAATTGGCCTTCTAATATCTGATACCGTATTCTTTCCCTTACATATTCTTTTTAAACGTAAGATATTTTTATTGAAGTGGGTGATTTTGGCAATAGCCTCAGGAGAGAGTCCAGAGGAGCAATAGAGAAGAACTCAGAGGGAAAGACAGGCCGTGGTTTCCCGGGCATTTTCCTTACTTCCTGGGGCTGCTGCTCCCTCTGGGAGCACCCAGAGCTCCAGCCCTCCATCAATTTCTCTCTCCGGTATTGTTCTTTTGCTTGCCACAGGGAATGAATACTATTGTTACACTACCTTCATTAACCAGCTCGGCTACTTCCTAAGCTCCTGGTGCTGCGCTGGGCCTGTCAGCTGCAAGGCCACTGGTGCTGAGTCAGAGGGAAAGGCTCAGTAACAGCCTCACGCAGAGCAGAATAAAGCATGACTCATCCTGTCCTCCCACCCACCCCTCACACTGGACTATAAATAATACCTCCCTGGTCTGTCTGGCATTATTCGAAAAGATGTTATGAATACCCAGAACTAGGCTATTAATGGGCTGCTGCCCAGCTTGTGCTCTCCTAAGAGTTCTATTTTAGCTGCAGTGTTTACTGTTTAAACCTCCTTTCTAGGCCAGGAATTTGTAAACCTGCATGTGGAAAATAAGAGCTTTCCTTTTGGTCGAATGATATTGGAGAAAAAGCTATCCAGGGCTTTGAACAGATAATCTGCGTTTTCAGTTATGTCCAGCAATAAATTGTTTTCCAGAAAAGGAAGATCAAAAACTTACCTGGTTTCCATTTGAGACACAACTTATGTGTTTCATTCTTTCTTTAATAACAAATGCATCTTTCCCACCCTATACCTTTGTTATTGCTTTTGTCTCATTATTAAAACATCATCCTTCCCTGATTTCCAGTCTAATCTTTCTTTTCTGCAGAAGACTAGCTGTGAAGACTTGTAGGTGGGTCCTGTGCACTCACTTCCCCTTGAAAATGTGATTCACTTTTACTGATAGTTTGGCTTAATCAGGACATTCTGTCTGGCCGCAGAGACAAGTCTAGAATGAGACCCTTTTTTCTTAACCACTCACTAAAAGGTATATCTGGAGATGGGAGCACTGGTATTTCTGGTTTGGCTGCAGTTCCTCCTGAGAGTGATAGAGTAGCAACTAGGATTATTATCCTTATTGGCTCCTTACTCAAGGTAAACTTGAATCCACTAGATTACGTGGTTTAAAAAGTGAACCTAAAGTTTGTCATTAAGATGGTCATCCATTGCCACTGAAAAATGTAAGGTAGAGTTATTGATTCCTGTGCTCTGCAGTATCTATCATCAGTAGGGAATAGTAGTTTTGCCCAAGGTGTTTCTTATTACAGGACATCATTAATGGTGTTTTCAGCCTAATCTCATCTGCTTCATTTCATTTATCTTCTCTGAGTCCATACAGCACTTTGTTTATATGTCTAGCATGGAGAACATTGACCATACTTTATTATAGATATTTATTTATATGTTTGTCTTCCCATCCAACTTTGAATACCTCTGGTGCAAGGACTAGCCAAATTAATTTGGTATCTCTAGCACTCATTTAGTATCTGATGCATGATAGGTACTTAATAAATACAATAATATATGTACAATGCTTGGATGGCATAGACTGTAAGATAAAATGCTAATGTCCTAACTAGGGACTAAGTTAGATTTTTTCTAGCTTAAACATTTGCAGGCTATACTACAAAATCTTGGTACTGTTTACTTATTTCCTATTGTTCATCACACAAATATTGTCCGAGTTTTATCATGCCTGTATGCAGTGGAGGTGAATGAAAGAAATGCATTTTATTTATTTATTTATTTTTTTGGAGACAAAAGTCTCACTCTTTCGCCTAGACTAGAGTGCTGTGGCATCAGCCTAGCTCACAGCAACCTCAAACTCCTAGGCACAAGCAATCCTCCTGCCTCAGCCTCCCAAGTAGCTGGGACTACAGGTGTGCACCACCACACCTGGCTAATTTTTTCTATTTCTAGTATAGACAGGGTCTCGGTTTTGCTCAGGCTGGTCTCTAAGTCCTGACTTCAAGCAATCCTCCTGTCTCGGCATCCCAGAGTGCTAGGTTTATAGGCATGAGTCACCTCTCCCGGCCTGTCATCAGCTTCTTAAAGGTAGAGTAGGTGAGCTGGAAACAGTTAAGCACAGTCAAAACCAGGTCACCAGTCTCTGAGGCATAACATTCATCCTAGTCTCAACTCAAGATGTCTTTCCTGTACCAACATGTAGGTGTATGGAAGGTATCAAAGGATATCTGCTTTTAAAAATCCCGGTAGAATTATAAATTCTTAGGGCAAAACTCTTAGTTCAAAAACATCTTTTTCTTTCCTGTATGTCTCCACTGAATAATTATATTCCTCCTGTGATCGTTTCATATTTATAAGTTAACAGTACTTTCTCTTTCAGTTTGAAGGAAGAAAATACTGTGAACATGATTTCCAGATGCTCTTCGCTCCTTGCTGTCATCAGTGTGGTAAGTTTCACTGCTGAATGTAAAATAAAAAGTAAGTTTCAAAATCACTTCAGTCACCTAACATTATTAAAGATATCAATGGTAAAAATTGTTTTTGGTGCTCATTATATTAAATAATTGTTAGGTACTTTATCAGTCATCTTCTTTATTATTAATATGTAACAAACTGGAAGAATATCAAAAGCTGGAGAGACTTGATTTTTTTATTTTTGAGACAGAGTCTCCCTCTGTTGCAGTGGCGTCAGCCTAGCTCACTGCGACTTCAAACTCCTGGGCTCAGACAATCCTCCTGCCTCAGCCTCCCGAGTAGCTGGGGCTACAAACCAATGTCACCACACTCGACTGTTTTTTTTCTATTTTTATTAGAGACAGGTCTTGCTGTTGCTCAGGCTGGTCTCGAACTCCCGATCTCAAGAGATCCTACCTCCTCTGCCTTCCAGAGTGCTAGGATTATAGGCATGAGCCACGGTGCCTGCCAAAAGAGTTGATTTTTAAGGATGTCTAGGGTACTGATAAAGGTATTTAGGGAAATAGGACTCCTATTAGTTGGTCTTTCGGAGTGTTCTTTATCTAGCTTTTGGATTTGCCGGAAAGAGACTGGGAAGATATCAGTAAGGTGCTTAAGATGCTTACAGATGCTTAGGGGTTGCTTTGATGATACAAAAGTGCTTGACTTGCTTGCATTTTAGCCACTGCACTGGTCTCTAATACCTCTATTAGGTTTCTACAGATTGAAGAAACTGAGTAGAATGTTCTAAAGGTTTAGTGAAAAAAGAAATTAAATATGGATTAGAAGAAAATATGCTGTAGATTTCTCTGTCAGCATTGACCAGAAATAACCAAAAGGCATTCAAGAGAGCCCAGTATATTGTTTGAAAAAGGAAAGCTTGTTCAGAGATGTCATAAAACGGCCCAAAAATATGGCTACTGAATCTAACACAAGGACTCAAATGAAATAAAAACCATTTTTTTCTAATGTGGTACTTCCTCTGGTAGACACATAAATAAATAAAAACTCCCTCTTTATGGAGAAAGGTTTAAACACATTTTTTCCCTCACTTTTTTTTTCTTACTTTTAACAAATAAGGTAGCACACTTTATTACTTAGGATGTTACAAGTGACATCCTGTGTGTGTTACTTTCCCACAGGTGAATTCATCATTGGCCGAGTTATCAAAGCCATGAATAACAGTTGGCATCCTGAGTGCTTCCGCTGTGACCTCTGCCAGGAAGTTCTGGCTGATATTGGGTTTGTCAAGAATGCTGGGAGGTAGGCGTTTTCTACCCTTGTTGGATGTGGGTGGACAACATGACTCTTACAAGGCTGTGTGTGTTTTCCCTGTGGGATGTAAGACAGTGCTCTGGGACACTGCAGCGTGTTGACTCTGTGATGCACGCTAGCACGGGACCCTAGAGTTTCTGTGCAGGGGCATGACTGCTCATGCATGGATGGCTGAGCCACCAATAGGCATACATAGATGGACTTTCTTGAAAATCAGATATTGGGGTTGGGACACATTTTTCATGTAGCTTGATTCTGCTCTAAAGCACAAGAGTGATTTTTTAAGAAATGATTTTCTTAATTTTTTTTCAGAGATATGGGAAGCATATTTCTTTTTAATTATTAGAAAAAGTAAGACTTTTAATTTAAGTTTTGGTTCTGTCTAGACACCTGTGTCGCCCTTGTCATAATCGTGAGAAAGCCAGAGGCCTGGGGAAGTACATCTGCCAGAAGTGCCACGCCATCATTGACGAGCAACCTCTCATCTTCAAGAACGACCCTTACCATCCAGACCACTTCAACTGTGCCAACTGCGGGTATTGGGATTTGTTTCTTTTTTATTGCATAAGCAGTGGAAATAAAAGATTACATTTATCTGTATTTCTGTTACTCCAGCAAACCAAATTGTATTTGTCCAACTTTTAGTCTAGAAAATTTTAAACCTATAGAAGGGTCAAAAGAATGATATGATGAATACCTTTCATTTAGTTTTACCAGTTAATGTTTTACCACACATTTTTCACTGAACGGTTCGAAAGCAAGTTGTAGACATAATGACTCTCAGTATGCATCTAAGAATAAGGACATTTTTCTATAAAACCACAATACTCTTATACCTAAAAAAATTACCAATAATTTTGTAATATAAGATATATCAGTCCAGGCCAGGCGTGGTGGCTCACGCCTATAATCCTAGCACTCTGGGAGGCTGAAGCAGGAGGATTGCTTGAGGTCAGGAGTTTGAGACCAGCCTGAGCAAGAGTGAGACCCTGTCTCTACTATAAATAGAAAAATTAGCTGGGCACGGTGGCGTGTGCCTGTAGTCCCAGCTACCTGGGAAGCTGAGGCAGGAGGATCGCTTGAGCCCAGAAGTTTGAGGTTGCTGTGAGCTAGGCTGATGCCACGCACTCTAGCCAGGGCAACAGAGTGAGACTCTGTCTCAAAAAAAAAAAAAAAAAAAAAAAGAGATATATCAGTCCATATTAAAATACACCCAGTTATCTCCAAAAGTATGTTTTTCATCACTGTTTTTCCAGTACAGAATCCAAAGACTAAAAAAAGAAGTCTTTGTACATACATAACTTTTACAGTTGTAATAAATAGTGCTATCTTAAAATATATTAAATTATATTTATTTAATTTTGCTTGATTTATTATACATCTAAAGGGTATATATTTAATTTTTTATCTTCAAAAAGTTATAAATTGTTAGGCTATGAATTTTCAGAATTTGCTACCTAGTATAAAAATTTTGTGGAAAAAAGATTATTTAGTCAATATGAGCTTACATGCTAAATTACAGAAGGGAGAAGAAACAGTGGATTAAAGATTAAGAAAATAGTTTTGTGGTATAAGTTCAGCCACCTCATCTTTTTTGATTGAATTATCAGTTTATGCCTTACCTAGTTTTCTTGCCTCTCCTTCCTCCTGTAGGATATTTCTCTGTCTACTTTTCATGAGCATCTCTCCTAGAGAATTATTTAAAACAGATGAAATTCAAACAAGTCCATTTGGCTAACTTGGGCCTTCTCTGGCCAAATTTTTATTGACACAGGATACTGAAAATAATAGCTAATTTAAGCATTTGGAGAAGGAAAATTATGGGCATTTCATTGTTTATTTTCTGTTAACCTATAACTGTTCTTGACAGGTTGTGACAATTTAAATAACTGTTAATAAATGGAACTAGTCTTCAGACTCCTCAGTTAGTTCGGAAAGGTAGTGTCTTAGTCCAGTTTTCACTCCTATAATAGAATACCACAGACTGCGTAATTTATAATGAACAGAAATTTATTTGGCTCATGGTTTTAGAGGCTGGGAAGTCTAATACTGAGGGGCCAGCATATGGTGAGGGCCTTGTTGCTGTATCATAACATGGCAGAAGGCATCATGTGGACAAGAAAAAGATGGAGTTGAGGGTACAGGGCTGAACTCATCCTTTTATGAGGAACACACTCCCTCAATAATGGCATGAATCCATTTATGAGGGCAGAGCCCACATGACCTAATCACCTCTTCACGTCCCACCTCCCAACATCTCTGCACTGGGGATGAAGTTTCCAGCACGTGAACTTTGGGGGGCACATTCACACCACAGCAGGTAGTATTACTGAGTCTACCCTCAGCACTGTGATTATTACCTGTAGCTTTTTAAGGAAGACAAATGGATTAAAATGTAATGTGATGATATGAGAAGGAAATGATAAATATTGGGGTGGTCATATATATCTGACTATTCTCATATCTTATCATTATTACAAGACACTGATGTTTGGATAGGAATCTGCAACCTGCTCAAGCCTAATAATTCAGGTTACTCTGGTCACCTCTAAAGAGGGAAAAAGAAATTACCAGGGATGGTCACAGTATTATCTTTTAGAACCTTCTAAAAAGTGTGCTAGCCACATCGGTTGCCTGTCCTCTCGCCCTCTCTTAGTGGTAGTATTCAGCTGGGTATCTTTCTCATTGACAGGAAGGAGCTGACAGCAGATGCCCGGGAGCTGAAAGGTGAACTGTACTGCTTGCCGTGCCACGATAAAATGGGAGTCCCCATCTGTGGCGCTTGCCGACGGCCCATAGAGGGGCGTGTGGTAAATGCCATGGGCAAACAGTGGCATGTGGAGGTGAGTTGTAAATGGCATAGGGGTAACCGGTGCTTTTGAATGTCCATGGTTCAGGTATGTTAGCAAGATTAGGAGATTCTAAAGGTTAAAGAACACAGAATACACACTGATTTTGTGGTCTCTTAGTAAGACATAAGATGTGCACTTCTGTTCTTAAATCCTCCTTTGTAGCAAGAAGTGTCATGGTCTTCTATATCCAGCAGCAGCAGTAGCAGATGCTACTAAGATGTTCATCTCTTTTCTCATTTTGTGTCGTTTGAATGGGCTGGGTTTTAAAGTAACCTGTCAAAGACTCACAGACACCTGAATTAAGACTGTAAAAGTATTACAGAGTTACCTATGGCCAAATGAAATGACTACCTCAAATCTTCATATATCTTCTCTGAGGATAGGTTAGAATATGGCAATTGAAAAATGACGTATAGCAATTTTTTCCAGCATTTTGTTTGCGCCAAGTGTGAAAAACCATTTCTTGGACATCGCCATTATGAGAGGAAGGGCCTGGCATATTGTGAAACCCACTATAATCAGGTACTTTACTCACACTTTTATGAATTTAAGCTTATCCATATTTTAGCTACAAGGAAATCTCTTAGAAAACGTATGTTGGTCTATAGAGATTTATTTTTAACCTTTTATTTGGGAAATAAATTCAGACTCAGAAAAATTGTAAAATAAAAAATACAAAGAATACCTATATATCTTTTACTCAGATTCACCATTTGCATCATTTGCATGCATTAGATCTTGCTGTATAAAAACACTTAAATAAATACACATATCTTTATATATAAACACATGCAAAGTTTTTTTAACGAAGCATTTGACAGTAAGTTCATCATCATCCTTTACCTGTAAATACTTCAATGTATCTTTCCCAAGATTATGGGACTCTTTTATTTAGTTGTAGTTATCAGTATTGATATAATATTTTAATCCATTTATTTAAATTTTATCATTTGAACCAATAATGTCCTTAATAGCATTCCTGGACTAGACCTAGTCTAGGATTGTCATGTTTCTTTAGCTGCCTTAAATCTGGAACATTTCCAGAACCTTTTTAAAAATTTTTGATGACATCGACATTTTTGAAGACTACAGATTCCCCCACCCCCTTAATAGACCGCTTTGTACTTGGGTTCATCTGATGGTTCTTCATGATTAGACGAGATAACGAGATGACACACTCTAGGCTACGGCACTGTGCAGGTGGTGATGTGTCCTCTCAGGGCCTTGCTTCTAGAGGGCTCTGTACTGATCTCTGACACTGGTGGTCACCCAGGCACAGACACAGAGCTGGCTCGTATTTCCACTATGAATCACTATTCCGTCCCTCTCGTGCAAGTATTAGAATAAGCAATTTATGGGCACTCATTTTACAACCATATAAATGTGCTTTTCCTCATTAAACTCTCCCCACCTCCCCAATGTAGCACCCTGTGATACTTCTTGCCTGCTCCAGCCCCACACCCCACACTTAGTTAGTCCTCGGCGTTCTGCCTGAGCAAGAGCCTATTTTCCTCTCCTATCTATAGGTTTTTTGATTTGTCTTTCTTATCCATATGTACTTGCAGTTTTCTGTATTTTCTATTACTCAATTATTTGGATGCTCAAATCATCATCTAGAGAGATTTTTTTTTAAATGATGAAAAGTAAATTATTTTCATTACAAGAAGTAAAAACTTGCCAGTGAGCTTTTATTAATTTTCTTTATGAGTAGTAAATTCTGGATTTAGATAGCGAGTTGTTTTTAAATGATAAAGAACTGAAATTATATTAAATATTCAGTGTTCTAAAATTTAATTCTGACACATTCATTTTCAGCTATTTGGTGATGTTTGTTTCCACTGCAACCGTGTTATAGAAGGTGATGGTAAGTTTCTGTGTGGATTTCATATGGCACCATTTTGACACAAAAACACTTAGGTAATGTGAAAATTGAAAGAGGTTGGTGATTGCTATTGTTTGGAATGGGATCATTATCAGTTACTTTTTTTTTTTTTTTTAGAGTCTCACTGTGTTGCCCGGGCTAGAGTGCCATGGCATCATCCTAGCTCACAGCAACCTCAAACTCCTGGGCTCAAGCAATCCTCCTGCCTCAGCCTCCCGAGTAGTTGGGACTACAGGCATGTGCCACCATGCCCGGCTAATTTTTTCTATATATTTTTAGTTGTCTGATTAATTTCTTTCTATTTTTAGTAGAGACGGGGTCTCGTTCTTGCTCAGGCTGGTTTCGAACTCCCGAGCTCAAACAATCCGCCCGCCTCAGCCTCCCAAGAGTGCTAGGATTACAATCAGTTACTTTTTTTATTTCTTTGGCATATTTCTCAAGTAATCTATAGTAGTGATATAATATCTAAGAGTTGGATTCGTTACTCATTTATGATAATAATTTATGATAATACTGTGGCCGCTGCCACAGTGCTGTTACGCTAGCAATTGTGGGAACTCTTCCTGGTGGACCCTAAGGCCTGTTTCTGTTTCTGGTTCCTGGAAGCTCTAGAGCAATGTGTATTGGGAACAGTTTAATCTGCTGGAGTAGTTAGGAAGAGTCACTTTAACCTGCACATGCTAAAACCTGGCACTTGTCAGCAAGCATACCTGGGACTTACCACCCTTGTACTGTGGTATTTAGGCTGGGATGACTGACTGGAACAGAAAGGAAGCAGCTGTGTTTGTTGATAGTCACTCGCACAATTCTGCCAGAGACTTCCTGGCAAAGTTTTAAACAATCCTGTTTTCAGCATGATTCATGGTTCTCAGCAGACTTCACCTAATTCAGGAAATACTTTCTGAAACACAGCTCGTGTGCAGTTTGCGAAAAGGTTAGTTCAGGAAAACAATCTTTCGTGCCATTGAAAATAAAACTCACCTTCCTCCTATGTGAAACAGTTGCCAGGCAAAAGAAGCTATTAAAGGAGGCTGTTTTCTTACTGTCAGCTTTGGAAAAAAGACTCCTACAGGCAAAGAAGTTAATGTCTGGATTTTAAAAAATTATTTATCTAGTTCATCTTTCTTTGTTGGGCCAATGGCAGTAGGGACAAAAACAGCAGAGAGCGTGCTGATCAGCAAGCACTGTGCCAGAAAAGCTGGCCTGAGCGACATAATTTCGTGTGCACGTCACTGCGTTGTCCACAGCGCTGAGGGGGCATAGTTGGCGTAAGACATGGTATGTATCATTGATATGCCTCACAAGTTGCTTGATGAGAGAGAAGAATTAATTACAATTGGCCCTCTGTATCTGAGGATTCCACATCTGTGGATTTGACCAATCATGGATAGAAAATATTCTGGAAAAAAATCCAATAAAAAACAACAAACAAAAATAAAAATAATACAAGTAACAAAACAATAAATTGTAATGACTATTTATATATCATTTACACTGTATTAGGTATTATAAGTAATCTGGAGATGATTTAATGTATAGGAAAAGATGTTTGTAGGTTATATGCATTTTATATCAGGGACTTGAGCATCTGAGATTTTGCTATCATTGGGGGGTCCTGGAACTAATCCCCTACAAATACTGAGGGACAACTGTATAAATAAAGGTTGAAAAAGGCAATCATAATCTTACCTAAATTGAAGCCTACAGTCACAAAAGACATAAGTGTTTGGTTTGCATATTTATTTAATAATGTGAAAAAATAGTCCTAATAAATTTATACAATTGATTGATTCAATACTTGTTAATTAATGGTACTGAGCTTTTTAGCTATGTTATTCTTTTGCAAGTAAAGAAGCTCTCAAGAAAGAGGTTCTTGAGAACCTCCTCCAAGTGACATGGAAATAGCCTTAGTCCTCCTTTAGATTTGGAAAATTTAAGCTGCCCCGCTTCCTATACCAGTGTATCTGTGTGACCAGATCTTTCTCCTCTTTTTCTAGTGGTCTCTGCTCTTAATAAGGCTTGGTGCGTGAACTGCTTTGCCTGTTCTACCTGCAACACTAAGTTAACACTCAAGTAAGTCTATGGTTTAGTCCAGTGTGAATTCTAAGACTGAAAACTTTGGGGCGTGGAATTTAAAAAAAGAGAATTATTTGATTCCTTGTTTCTTCTTTCTCTTCAGGCCTTCTGAAAGTAAAGTTTCTTCCTTTAATTGTTGCCTGTTATTTTTCTATTCCTTCTTTGTCCTACTCAAAGGGATAAGTTTGTTGAAATTGATCTAAAGCCAGTCTGCAAACACTGTTATGAGAAAATGCCAGAAGAATTTAAGAGGCGACTTGCCAAACGGGAGAGAGAAGCAAAGGATAAGGACAAGCAGAAAAAGAAAAAGCCAGTCTGTTTGTAAACTTTTCTACCCTTCTGTCATCATTTTCACTACTTTCTTCTTTGGTTAGTCCTTTGGAATATGTTTTTGTTCTGTTTCTGTCTTTTGCTTTCTCATCCTCACCCTCCACCCCAGCCCCTTTTTGGCATGTATTTGTAGGTGTCAGAGATTGAAACATAAGCATTTGTCCTATGTAGAGTTGGTCCTTTTGCTTAGTTATTAAAATTATAAAGATTGAATAAGTTACATACTTAATACCAGATTGTGATCACATATTTCACTTAATCTGTAGACTGACTCACTTTTTTTTAAAATCACAGTGTGGTATAGATTTCTTTTCTTTTCTTTTTTTTTAATAATGAATTCAAGGGGAAGAATTCCAGTCTCTTAATAGACACTGGGAAAAGTTTTAAAGTATTTTTATCTGATAACTACAGCTTTTAAAATCCTGGTCTTTGGTTTCTTTGCCTAAAATCATCTAATTGATAAATTCTAAGTGTTGTTTGATATTTTTAAAAATGCATGCGTTCTAAGTTCTATATTAAATTCTTTTGGCATGTTTCATATCTAAGCAAAGTCCATCTAATTTACATAAGATATTTGCTCTCTATGACGTTTTTATATGCTTTCATACAATGTCCATATGCTACTATTTAGGAATTCATTTCCTTGATGTCTTCAAACTCTTTTATTCCTCATTTTCAGTCTTCCAAATTCTGTTGAATTACTGGCATGATTGTTTCATTTTCCCCCATGATTACCATTGTGTTTAGAGCTCTAAAAATTTCATAAAGAGGAATTAAAATGCAAACATAAAATGAAAACAATGGAAGGCTTGCTAAGTATTCTCTCTGAAAACAGGAGTAAATTTTTTCTTTCATCAAAAAAAAGGCAGTTTTAATAGCTTTTGTTCTAAGTAGACCTTGGGAGAAATTAACGCAACTGTGTTATTTAAATCAAACTGCCCCCTTGAAGCATTTGATCTGCTAGTTGAAATGTAATATTTGAATTATTGTCAGTGTAAGGGTCTCTGTGAAAAACAGCTATGAAATAATTCCCAGTGTGGTGTGTTAAAATAGAAGATTTTCATTTTATCTATGTAGGTAGGAATTAACTTTGTTATTAAGATCGTTCTTTAAAATGATCTTGAAGCAAATAGTCTAGTTTAATGTATTTGAAAAATACATTAAAAATTATATCAGCAAATTTTATAATTTTTGTCATAGATGACAGTGTACCAGTAGACTTGGTCCACAAATGCTTCCTAAATATAATTCCACAGATAAGTTATAAAGTTTTGTATTAATTCAAAATTAAAGACCCTGGATTCCAACAGTAATAAGCTACTGTAATATTGAAAATGCATTACCAATGGTCAGGAGGCCATCTAAGAAGTTGTCTTCTCCAGGATTGTTTTATAAACAAATTGATAATATGCTTTTAAAAAGAATAATTGAGTTCTCCAAACAGCTACCATTTACTATATAACCATGAGTGATCTAGTTACATTTGTGTTTTTTAAGAGTGATTAAAAAATTTCTTATATCTTCCTTACCAACCTGTCTGTCAGACAACCAAAATAACCCATTATGACTTAAGATAATTTTTAAAAAGATTTAAGGTGATTTTTTTGTTGTTGGGGATAAGAGGAAAATAATTTTATACCAGGAAAGATGAAACCTCGTGGCTACTTAATTTAAAATACTAAGTAAGATCATTTTATCTCCAATAAAGAGATCATTCATATTACAAAAATATGATTCTTTGCTTTAAATCAATTTATTCTTTAAGGTATTTTCATGATACTTTAAAATGTGATTGAATTTACTTACCTAAATTACATTTACATTAGATTTTATGTTAACTTAGCACTGAGTAAAATGTAATACACAGTCTTTGTTACACAGATAGATGTATAGGACCAATTTATAAGGACAATTTCTTCAAACGATATTGTGAATTTTTTACATTTACCACAATAATAATTGAGATTAGAATTATAATTCTTTACAAACATGATATAGATGTTGTCATATACTGTCTTCATTTAGTTCAATAAAATTATTTCACATGATTTATATGTATATTGAATACATTTCCACTAATTTCTCTTTTTTTATAATTATTATCTTTAGGAATAAATTTGTGGAGTTTGACATGAAGCCCGTCTGTAAGAAGTGCTATGAGAAGTTTCCATTGGAGCTGAAGAAAAGACTTAAGAAATTAGCTGAGACCATAGGAAGGAAATAACTTCCTTTATATTTTTTCTCTTCTATACAAAGAGAAGAGTTTGATTTGATCCACGCTTATTTATAAAAGCTTTATCTCAAAGCAGTTGAGAGCAAAGAGGACCTACAGGCCTACATGAATGGTTTTCTTCATCTCCTTTTTCTCATTGAAAAAAAATTTGTATAATCATATTTAAAACACAGATGAAATCAAGATTTGCCTTTATTAATTAACCCTTATCAATTTGTTGACATGTAGACTATATAGCAGAAAAATACATGGTCAAATGTTAAATCTTAATTAAGGCCCCAAAATTAAATACAACTTTTTAAAATCAAAGAAAGTCAGCTTTTACATGACTCCGGTAAAAAATAGTATAAACATTGATTTACTTTGTATTCAAAAGAAAATTACCTCCAACTGCTGTTAGGGGAGGATATAGAAAATAATAACCAACCAAGAAAAAGAAATCTTATACAATCTTAGTATGTTTATCAAACCTAGTAGTTGTAAAATGAATGAATACACACATTACTAAGACAAGGAATAAGTGTATTCAGAACTACTTGATTTGGTTTTTTTAAATGCAATAATGATTATGCTAGTTTTGTATTTTGTTCTCCTTGTGAATTCTTCCTTCATGTGATTACTTAACACAGTAGTTATAGCTAGCTAATAGTATGTCTTAAAATTTTGTGCAAAAAAATTTATACCAGTTATTTGAAAATACAGTATACTTTACAATATTGGAAAAATGAAGTATTTTTTAATGTATTACAGCAATTATGCTTCTAAGCTTAATGTCAAATGTGTAGTCTTAGAATAGGACATGAAAATAAATTGTATGTAGCTTGGAATGTATCACTTCAAAAAAGCAAATATATATTTTGGTCATATTGCCTTTATAACCATGCTAATATCTATGCTTTATACATAATCAAACTTGCCTTGCTTTAGAAAATCAGGAATTCTAGCTATTTCATACAATACCAACCAAAAATAAATGCATGGACTGAGATTGGTAAACCCAAATTCATTTATCACAGCTGTAATCAAATTAAAAAAAATTTTTTTCTCCTTTTTCTGAAGAGACCTGTTAAAATTAAGTCCTGTCATCTTAATAGAAGAGAATAATGTTGATAAGTGTTTCAGGTTTTCCATTTCAAATCTTAGATTTTATTTACTATGAGTATGAGGTATAAAATTCCACCTTTAAATTGGAAGAGGGGTGTTTTCGTGTCAATTTTAGGTTAAAATTAGTGAATTATTTTCATAAAGTTTTATCCTGAAATTTCTGAACCATTCCTTCTGGATAAATTTGTTATGCAAAGCAAGCTTTATGAACATTTTAAAAATGTTACTGCTGTTATTTACAAAGAAAATTGCCAAGATAGACTTTTAGGGGAAAAATTATTGGTTTTTCTAAAAATTGTTGAAATAGTTTTGCCATAAAATAAATCTCAGGATGCTACCACTCTGCCTTTAAAATATTTGTATGCATGCATTTTTTTTTAATTTTGTGCATGTACTCTACAAAATAAATTCTATTTCTGTTTTTATATAACTTATAATCAATAATTTTTTAGTGTTTAGAGTTAAAAGAATTATCATAAATGTTGAAAATAATCAGTAGTTTGTGCTCAGTAGTTCAAAATAATTTTTGCATTTGACAGAAGAACCAAAATCCCTTCAGTGTGCCTTTGCCAGCTAATATATGACCAGCAATGAAAACCGTGGAAGTATTTATTAAATATTATACCATAAGCAAAATAGGACAGGGTTTGCAATAGAGTCTTCATGCTAAGTTCCTGTATACCCCTACACCAGATATACAGAGCAGAAAAGCAAGCATTTGCATATTTCATCATCACTGTGAAGATGCATGGCCTGAACTTGACTGCTTGCATTCACATTTCATACATGGCCAGGCACTTCCTGTTGCCAGAGGTCCCCCTGCTGTCTTTGCTCAGTCTTCTCTTAAAATAGTAATTGATATTTCTGGAAGTTCTACTTGTTAAGCCTCTAGTACTTTAGGGTAGTTTATTTAGTAATTTCTCCCTTGATAGGGGTATCATTGGAGCCCTCATATGTGGGAAAGGAGGAAGAAGTTGAAAAGTTTTAAGTGGAATAGAAGACAAACTTTATGTGGTTCATAATATTTTTCAGAAGGCTTGCCCTGGCTGCAGAAAAACTCAGGTCATAAGCATCTCTTAAAGTCCTACAAGGCAATTTGAAATAAGCCATTGTTCTTACCAAATCTCTAAGTACTCTTAGCAAGCCTATATAATTGGGAAAAATGGGTGCAAGTAAAACATTCTTTGGATCATATTCAAAGCCTTAACACTATACCTGAAATAACAGGTCATGTTGCCTCCTCCCTTTGCTACAATAGCCACTTCTAAGTTAAGGGAATTTTGAGGTAGGCTTATAGCATTCTTCTTGTGTTTCATTTTAGATTGTAAGCTCAATGGCAGGGATAGTATATCAATAATTATGTTTTTATATAGCAACCATTGCAGTATACTCTCGGTGCTTAATAAATGTTTATAATTATTAACAATAACCTCTGTGTTTTGTTTAATTTGAATGGCATAAACATGAAGTACATGTATACATGAAAATTCAGGTGTTCGTGAGTCACTGTGTGCATTGTGTTGGAAAGACGCTGCCAGGGTGTTCCTCTTCCAGTGCTTGGTCCTCCCCTGGTTCTCCACCGGCCTTAAATGTAGATTCCTGGGGGCTCTGTCTGAGTTGAGTCTTGCACTCCTTTTTCTCCCCCGGGGAGGTAAGACGGGTAATTATACCTCCATTCGGGAGCTGCTGTGATGGGATGAACACAGGGTGTGCAAGACCACAGTGGCAGGACCCCAGGGAAGGGAGTGAAGGCTTCCTAAGGAGCTGGGTCTTGCTAGATGATCAAGTTGTTCAGGCAGGGAAGCAGGCTAGCAGGTGGGCATCCCGGACCCTCTTCCATTCCTGTTTTCTCCATTTCCCTTGGTGGCATCACCATCTATCCCAGCTCCCAAGCTAATAACAAGTTGACTTTGAGTCCTCACTCCCATGACCTCCACCTGCCCCCACCTCTAACCACCCCAAAATCCATCACCTCCGCTGTGGAAAGGCCCCCGAAACATTTCTTCTGCTCCTAGCTTGCAGCCACTGCCTGCCTCAGGCTATCCTCACTGTGCACCCATCAGTCAACTTGCCCTTGCTTATTAACCTCACTGAAGCAGAATAAAGTCCAAGCTCCTTCCTGTGGCACCTGTTAAGTCTGTTTTTCTCTTAATGGCCAAAGCATATGCCACACAGAACTGTCTTCCCAGACCCTGACGGGCCCTTTTGTAATAAATATACCCTTCTCACTTTTGAGACTCAGCTCAGATTCATCCCATTTGCAAAGTTTTTCCTGATTTCTTCAAGCAACAATTCACTCTCTTTTTTGCCTAGCTTCTTATGTGTCCCTCTGTCTCAGTGATTATGATGTGCATTTTAAGTATAGGTTTATGTCCCCATCAGAAGGTTGGCTGTGTTGTCTTTGTATTGTCTGTGCTAGTCACAGCACCCAGTAGGAGCTTAGTGATTACTAACCAGTGTACCTTACACCTCTACCAGACAGAACCAAGTATTCTATAAAGCTATTAGAATTGTTTAAAGCTAAAAACCAACACAAAGACCATAACCAGAGTTTTTGTTTTGATAACACAAATGTCATCGCTTCTTACTTAAAAAAATATCTACTTGGGAAATGCCTTATTATAAATATTAAATGCAGGATTCAAAATCTTGTACAGGATCATAAAAATGTGCAAAAAGGCATTTTAAAAGATAGATTAAATATACCAAAATGTTATGAAAATGCTTTTTAAATTTTTTGTTCGGAATTTTTTTGCAGGGGACTATTCAGGTGCTGTTTTTCAATTTGCCAAAATAAATGTTACACTATAACAACAGGACATGCTAACTTTATTTCTTAAACATGTTCTGTTAAATGTGTGTCCTACAATATTGTTTTCATAATTTTTTTGGCCAGATTTTCCCCATGGATGGAGGAATGGTGAGCTAAAAGCAGCTTCTGTCTCAATTATCACAAATTCTAGCACAGCAGAGTTGAAAGTGAAGTTTTCACTTCGATGAACCAATCACCCTGCCTGGTAAAATTTTAGATTTAAGAAGCCATTTGCCCTTGCGGTAAAGATTAGTGACATTAAGTGGAGAATCTTCTACTTGATCCTCTGAAATCAAAAATTCTAATATGACAGCAAGATTAGAAAAGAAAGCAGGAAATCCCAAGGTTTTAGAGGTGAGGAGAAACTACCTCTTCTCTTTCTAAAACACTGAGCTCTCCCTGAGGAGACTGACTGTCAAGATGCCAGTCAGGACACAGTAGCCAGCTCATGTATGCTGCCCCATGTCCACTGGGAGTCTGGGAGTGGGGACAGGTGTGAGTCTAGGGCCACTGAACTCTTTTTTTTTTTTTTTTTTTGAGACAGGGTCTCTGTTGCCCGGGCTAGAGTGAGTGCCGTGGCATCAGCCTAGCTCACAGCAACCTCAAACTCCTGGGCTCAAGCAATCCTCCTGCCTCAGCCTCCCGAGTAGCTGGGACTACAGGGCATGTGCCACCATGCCTGGCTAATTTTTTCTATATATATTTTTAGTTGTCCAGCCAATTTCTTTCTATTTTTTTAGTAGAGATGGGGTCTCGCTCTTGCTCAGGCTGGTCTTCAACTCCTGAGTTGAAACAATCTGCCTGCCTCAGCCTCCCAGAGTGCTAGGATTACAGGCGTGAGCCACTGCGCCCGGCCTGCCACTCAACTCTTGATCTACTGGGAAAGGCTTTAAGGTTCGGGTGGTCACAATGTGATATTTGGAGCACACTTGAAACAAGTTCACTACTAGAAATGTAAGTTTTATTTACATGGCCCAGGAAGAGAATTTTAATCCCCAAAATATTAGAGACAAGCATCATGCAAAGAATAGCTTATTAAAAGGATATTCCTTTGCCACATGTTTAACATAATATCAGACCACATAAGAGGGGTATCGAGTCAATGACACCAATGTTTTGAAAATTATTCATACTGGTTTTCAATTAATGATCCTCTCCCTCCAAAACCTCACGTTTAATCAGGAGGTATAGTTCTTGAAGGTTAGTCTCTATTTTTAGAAATTTACATGGATATTTCCCTCTCTTAAGGTGTAAATTCCTTCAGAAGACAGCTAGGGTCTTCTAATTTTGTGTACCCACAGTGAGACCTAAACTATTTGGATCCGATCTTCCTGGCAACTTTTATCAGGAGACAGGCAAAAATTAGGAAATAAAAGCCTTATAAAGACCAAAACGTATACCAAATTGCATATACTAAATGTTCATATCTTTACTCTTAGAAAAACCTTTCAGGCCCTTGCTTATCACTACTTACTCTAAATTTATACATAGTTCTAACGAGCTTCCTGAGTTTCCTACTC